CCGGAAATAGTGGCGATTTCAGGACCGCAAGAATGGACCGTCATTGGAATGATTCTTTTTTAAACCGTGCACTGTTTTCGACCGAAATTTAATAGTTACTACAAAATATTTTGTAATTACGTTTCCACCAAGAATGAATGCCATCAGGGCTAAATTTTTACTACTTTTGCATTTTGTCAAGAAGCATATAGTGCTGTTATATTGCACTTTTAGCGCATTTGTTACAAAATGCGCACTTTTCAACAACAACAGAATTTAACTTGTTACTTGAGGGGAAGCTATGCTAATTGCTCTTGTCCATCCACTAGAAGTTATTAAATATTTTGCTTTGTGTATTCCAAAAGGAGAAGGAACTATTTTATTTGTGCCTTCATGTCAGAATTGAAGGTAGATCATTAAATTTTCAAGGCAGTTTCAGTTTACAAACAAGCATTTGGTCTTTCTCGTATATAAGCAGTGACTTAAGAAGAAAAGGTTGATCAATCCTGAAGTTTAGTCATCGTACCTCAACTTGGCAGCAAGATCCCCAAGGACAGAGGATATATTGTATACCTGTCCTGTAAATCAAAGCATTTTTGTGCCTGCAAAGGCTTAAGTTCTTTGTGGTGTGTTCGGAGTGAGGCTATATGGCCGTTTTTGTTGTATGTTAATGTGGAGATTGAATATAACTGTGACCCTGTGCTTCTTTTTATACTTACTATGGTCAAACAGGGAACAGCACATTCACAAAACATACTCACCTAGCACCTAACTCATAGCTGTACCCTGCAGGATCTGTACTTGTTCATGTCTCGAGCATTAACAAAACACTTAAGCAGCTTAGTAATCATTTCCCACATTTTCTGAGCATCTAACATGACATGCAGTAGTGCAGAGCAGCTTCAGAGAAGAAACACTTTAAATGCACAGACTCACACCAGCCACCCAATGAGCCCGTTCCTCAGTTGACTGTTTCCCTGGATGCAGCTTGGCAAGGTGAGCTAACTACTGGCAAGTTGAAGGTTAGCAGGTAAGATTGAGTTAGGGTGAGTACCTACCTATAACTGGGTGCTACTGCTATGCTTGGGTAGGCTGCAAATATGCGTGATGATTGAGGTTAGGTCAGCTGTCAGGTTATTCAGGTATGCTCATTGCTCAGGTCACATTTTTATGGACACTTGGCAAATTAAAAAACTAACATAACCTAATCTAAGCTAACCCAACTAAACCTACACAACTGCTGACATAGGAACTAAGCACCTACCTACTTGTGCCTGCATCTCATACCATGTCAAAGTAGAGTTCCTTGGTGGAAGATTACCCTCAGTACTTTTTATCCCAGCCCTGTGAAGAAAACTACTACTTCTAAGCTCTGAGTCACTGCTGGCCATCCACAGGAAGAAACGCTGAGACTGAGAGCTTTGCCATTGTATATTGGACCAACAATCACTATCACGAATGACTATAAACACATTATATTATCACATCATTGCATGGATTGTCACATTGACAATTTTATAACAATCCTTTTTTCAAGAAATACAGTAATGATTAACATCAAAATCAACATAAAGTGGATTTAGTGATCCAAGCTTTCTCCTCCAGTAGCAATGGAATGATCGCATGTTTCATTTGCCAGACACTGAGTACCTGATGCACATTACAATCTGCATAGCATCTAAGCATAGTAAAGCTGCCAAAGTCCATTCATTCTAGATTTTTAACTTGATAGTTAGCACTAATTTATCTTGCTGTTGTAAGTTATCATTCAATATTCATACCAATACATCAATATGCGCTCATCAGCCAACATTTTCTGGCATGATCCTGCGCAGCTTCAGTATTGCTCCCAGATCTGCAATATTATAGCTTGCTTTCGGCCAATAAGCTCTTTTAATTTTACTTCTTCTTGCTGATATGAGCCCGATCAACTTGCGTTTATCAACCAAAATTGCATAACTTCAAGTTCAACATGATATTGATATTGCTCAGGAGTCAGGACCTCTGTCAGCCTCCTGGATACTTCGATTGTTTTCAGTCACATGCTTGATATAATGATATAAGTATAATGATATAAGTCAATCTTAAGGGATTCAAAACATCCAACAAAACGACGTACAAGAGTACGGAAACCACCAGATAAACTTAAAAACCGCCTTGGAACAGAGCCAAGTGGTGCTCCATTTGTTTGTTTACAATGATTGTAGTGCTGATGTATTTTTAGGACTCTGAAGGTCGGCTTTTAAAAAATGAAACGTTTTTACAAAAGTTGTAAGGCAAGTAATATTTATCTGAAAGAACTAAAATATTCAAAAGCCAAACACTATGATATACATGAATCGGAACGAAAAAGTAACCCAAAAATCCAGCCTAATCACCGGCTCCTAAAAGTGCAACAAATCAGCACTTTTCCCCGCAACTCGTTGTCCAGACGTAAATATGCCCGCGACGACCGGGTCGGCGCTATTAGCGGCGGACTCGCAGCGCACCTTCTCCTCATACGTGAAGGGGCGACAGGACTTGCGCCGTATGCCGATAGGGAACGCCTTTTTGAATTTCACTAGATCGCAAATGAACTTCACCGTCGCCTTCCTCCTCTCCAGCCGTGTCAAGAGAGCGGGGTACTCCACGCCGCGATATCTGGCGACCACCACGTCCCCGACACGTAGGGTGCCAGCGCTGCCGGCCAGCGCCAGCGCCGACTCGTCCTCGCTGTCGTCCGTCGAGTCGAGCTGTCGAGAGTCGTCCGGCTCTTCAGACGGTACATATAGATGTGTAAATGTATATCTATATTACCTTGGACAGTATACATATATGCGGGGCTGTGTCTGTTGGTCTGTTTTCACCTCACCAAAAAAAACCTCAATACAGTCCCGATGCACACAATCATCGTTTTTTTTTGCGAGCGCGAAGGCGACGGATAAATGGTCATTCAGGGAGCACCAGCTTCCTGAATACTTTTATCGGTAGCGCAGCGCATGCAACTCTTTTAATTTAACAGCCGTTACCCCGGCCCCGGGGAGCGGACATTGTCATGCGCCGGGCCTTGCACCAGCGCACACGCATGCGCAGTTCAATGCGTCTCCAGCTCCCGTTCACGCGATTGCGTTGTCATCTATCTTTTGATATTCCTGGCATTTTCTGCCCACTTTGAATCACGAGACCTTCCAACTGGTCCAGACGTTCAATCAGCTTCTGGTGAGTTGTCCTTCGGGGTGGCTTACGTGCGTTATTTTCCTACATCTTCCGAGTGGGTGGTTTCACTGCTATCAGGGTCACGGGCCACGACGTCAGCCCGTGAGAGACGAGTGTGTTCTCACCAAAAAAGACCAACGGGTACATCAGGCTCACCCATGGCAAGGGATTTCAACAGAAGAAAACCAGAAAGAATCACCGAAGCTTGTAGATTGCAGATGGACACCAGTGATCTCACCTAGTGTGAGTGGATGGCATTGCTCCCAGCAACTGCCAATTGGCTGTGGCGAGATGGCTCGGTTGTGGAGAGCGCGCTGCAGTGTTAGAGGTGTCCTGATCTCCACTCTGATAGAGGTTTCTCGAAATGTTCAACCAAGGCCGGGGTTCAACTGACTGCCAAGAAGCAAATGGCGATTTGTCGATTGTTGTGGCGGGGAGTGAAACGTTAGGTCACGTTTTCGCTGTTTTTCGCGTTTAAAATCTCTAAACTAGAGGTAAGGGTTCATGGCAGGATCGGCATATTTTCAAAGTCTCAGTTATCAAGCCACAATTCGGCATATTGACAAACTGAAGTTGTCATGTGGTCAAACTCTTCCAACTCCGTATCAGCTCGAAGCTGTGATGCGGAACGATGACCCGAAATCCCGGCCAGATGTGGATTTGGGAAATATCTATGCCTACCTAATCGACACTTAAAGGCTTTATCAGTTTTTTCCCTAAAAATTAGGAGTTATTTAGTGAAACGTGTATAAGGTGGCGGAGGCCCCAATCCAAAGTCATTCGTCTCAAAGTTGCCATATTTTCTAATGGTGGACTTCCAAGGTTTACGCGGCTGCCAGCCGCGAAAACTTGGATGCATTTTTTTTTTTTTTGGTGCATCTCTATTGGCCATTGGATTAACGCAGGCTGAGGCTTTCTCAAAATGTCTAGGGAATATATAATGGATCATGTAGTCCATTAAATTTTCTCAAGAAACATGGGAATTCTTTAAAAGATCTAACGACTCGTATCAGCATATCTCCATAACAAGTGCGTTTTGATCTGTACTTGAAAATGTTGGTGGGCTGCGAAAATATTTTCCAATTTTAAAGCATTCGACTTATATACTAGCCTGTCATTTTTCAATATTTAATTGCATTGAAACAGACAATAGGTCATTTCTTATTGTGATAGAAGAATGCAAGAGCCATGAAACTTATCAATGGCAGGTGAAAAGTGGTCAGTTATTAAAAGTAATAATGGATCAAGATGACAAATTATTGGCATAATTGCTCACTGCTGTTGCAACTCAATATCCCATCGCTATCCCTATCGCTACGTGGCCCATGAGCCGAGTTAGAGGGGGAGGGGTGTGTTCCTAGCAACCCCCCCCCGCAGTGCGTGGAAATTCAGAACCCCTTGCGGGGCGTGGGTTAATCCATTCGGACTAAATTAAAAGAGACAAGAAGGTTTCACTCCCTTGCCGTCGAGGACAGCCAGAGTTGGCGAGGGCACATTTACTTGCATAGTTTAGTGTACTTTGAGTTGATTGTTCATGTCAACAACACCATTTGCTCCACTCCCTCATCCTAATGCATTTTTTTTATTTATTTATAGTACTGTTATGCATGGAGCCAATGCCAATGTTTTCGTCAATGTTGTATGGACATAGGCTACGTTCGTTTCGTGTTTATTGTTCTTACTGTATTTCATACCGTTTATTGTTCAAGTGTTATGCATATATTGTCTATGAGGTTCTCCACCGGCGTAAAGCTCGATGTGAATTTTACCACCTCGTGCAGGAGCTGCGACTCCTGGACCCGGATAGGCACCAGACCTATTTCCGGATGAGCCGCGACTCGTTTGACCTGATCCTGTCTAAAATCGGACCGCTGATCACCCGCCAGCACACGAACTTCCGAGAGCCCATCGACCTGGCCCAGTGTCTGGCCGTCACCCTCCGCTACCTCGCCTCAGGTATGAAGTTCGCCGCGATGGCGCCCACCTGCCGACTCGGCGAACGGACGGTGCGAGCCATCGTGTGGGACACGTGTGCCGCCATCGTGGCTGTTCTCGGCCCGGAGGTGCTGCCGGCCCCGACCGAGGCCACCTGGAGGAGGAGCGAGGCGGCCTTCAAGCAGCTGTGGGACTTCCCCAACTGCGTGGCGGCCATCGATGGAAAACACGTCCTGATCCAGGCACCAGCAAACTCCGGCAGCATGTACTTCAACTACAAGAAAAAGTTAAGCCCCGTATTTCTGGCTGCCGTCGACGGTAACTACCGCTTCGTCTACGTGTCGGTGGGGAGCGCTGGGAGGGAGTCCGACGGCGGCATTTTCGGCCGCAGCGACCTGGCTGAGAAGATAAGGGACGGGACGCTCGGCCTGCCAACAGCTAAGCCGCTCCCGGGCGGGCAGGGAGGTGACGCTGCCACATGTGTTTGTGGCGAACGAGGCGTTCCCTCTCACCACTACTATCATGCGGCCGTACCCGGGCCGCACCGAGGCCAGACTCAGCTGGCCAGCGGCGGTCTTCAACTACCGCCTGTCCCGGGCACGGCGCGTGGTGGAGAATGCCTTCAGCATCATGACCCAGATTTGGCGACTACTGAGACGGCCGCTCAACGTCTCCGTGGACCACGCTTGTCAGCTGGTCTATACCATCTGTGTGCTGCACAATTTCCTACGCCGCAACGACGCTACCGGAGCACTGCCCTGAGTGGACGGCACGGGGGCTGAGCAGGCCGAGGGTGGCGGCGAGCTGGTGGACCTCCGCGGCCGTCTCATGAGTGAACGTGTGGCTAACGTGTAAAAGTGTGTGATTGTTCTTTTAGTTTTCAAGGGTGCCTGCCGAAGATTGCAGAAGATACTGCTGAGTTCGTGCTGCTTTTGAACGACTCTCTCGACGTGCTCAACGCATGCACGCTGTACAGCGCCAATCCTCTGAAGAGGGCCATCTCAGGAGAATACGTCTCAGCCCGACGACGCTGCCTGGAAAAGTTAGCAGACTGGCTTGGGAAATGGGGTGTCCAAGTCCCTTCAGTGCAGGGCCTACGGCTAACAATAGCCGGTGTTCTGGCCATCTGGGACCGTTGGAGTGGGGAGGGGGACCCCTGCCATGTTCCCCTGTGTACGAGCGTGAGATTCTTTTTGGCCAAAGATCGTATACCGGACTGACCGACGCAGATGTTGGTGGACTTAACAAGTCCATCCAGGCTTTCTATGATGTCGGGGATTTGACGTTTCGTGCAACGCAAGCCAATGGCACCTGCGGTGTTGTTTCAGCCAAACGCTATGTCGGATAGTCTCACATCATATTTGTACCATCAGCGCCTGCAGAGCTCTCTGCGCACTGCAGATGATAGCACCCTTCAATTCCTGGTGCAACTGTTCATTCGGCTACAACTCCACGCCATTCGTAAGGAGAGGGCTGAGCGGCGTGAAGACGCAGATATGCCAAAACGTTCTGAAGCTAAATCATCAGCTGTAAATACGCACAGTTGATGATGGGCGTGATGGCATGGCGTGTGGTTTGTGCATTGATGCATCGCGATGTTGTAAATAAATGTTTGCTTTATGATTTGTGTGATCTTGTCTGATGATGCAGGTGTTGATTCATATAGGCCGCTGCAAGGATGAATCACAAAATTGTCTGTGCGAAGCATGCCTGCGTAGGCATTGTGATTGTGCATAGGTAAGTTCCTCTTCCTTTGCTCTTCCACCCCCTACCCCTCCCCCGCTGGCAGACCAATCATCTTATTAATCATCTTATTCCACACACAAAAAAAAAACATCTGGGGATGGACCTGGCCGGCGTCGGGACCCCGCAGTTTGCCGTGGACGTCGCCGGTCGCCAGCGTCGACTTCAGGCCCGCTTCCATCCTGATCGGCCGACCGGCAGCGAGGAAATCTCCCGGTAAGTGACGCTGTACTATTTACATACAAAAAAAAATCTACTCCATCCCCTGTAAATGTTTTAGACAAAAGCTGTCTCTGATTCCACGTCGCCTGACCTGCCGTTTCTCGTGTGCAGGGTCGTGAACATCAGCGCGCACTTGCTCCGAGACCACGGGCCCGACTACGTGCGGTGGGCGCGCGGCCTCAGCTCGAGCGGCGGGCCGCTGGAGGTCGCGCGGGCGGCAATGGTTATGCTGCCCCCATTCTTCACTCCTCCGGACGTCCTGAGGGCTCTGGCAGTGCCCTTGCTTGAGAAAGGGCTGGTGACACTGGAGGCGCTGTCGGCCGGCCGTCGACGCGACGCCCGACGCCTCCGAGAGCTGGAGGTCACGGTGGCTGATGCCCACGGCAGGATCAGCCAGCTGGAGTCGGCTGCCTGTGACCTGCAGCTTCAGGTGACATCCCTGCAGGAACAGTTAGCCGGCCAGGCTGACGCCTGGAGAGCCACCATGCGATGGGAGCTGGCAGAGGCGAAGCGGCGCCAAGAAGTGCAGCTCTCTGAGCTTCAGGCCGTGCTCGCCGCTGCTCAGCGGAGCGAAGCCGCGCTGCACCGGCGTGTCGACCGACTGACCCGCGAGCTGGGTGTGGCAGCGCAGCAACATCGCCAACTGGTCGCTGACAACGAGGGCTATCTGACGGCTTGAGCAGGCCGCCAAGCTGTCCCGCTGCCATGGCCTGCCATGGCGAGTAAGCTAGCCCGCCGCCCTGCTGTCGAAGAGATGATACTGCGCCAGTGCTTGGCCGCGGTGAGTGCTGGCACGGTCGATCGGCACTGTCGACGCACTGCCCGCCAGCTCTTGGCCGATCTTTAGGTTGTGCCTGCTTCCTTGAAGTCAGATGTGTGCTTCGTTTGGTTTTGACATGAATACACTTTTATCAGCATCCTTTGTCTGATGATGAACAAGCCGGGGGCTGATCCATTATGAGGGTTGCATTGCTATTTACAACAAATATGTACATGACTACTCTTCAGCGTTTTGATCACTTCTCTTCCAGCACCGCGATGTTGACGACAGACCGTCTATACACGCATCCTCCCGCCGTCTTGATCTGGACGGATCGGACCCTTCCATCTGGTCCCGGGAACATATCGCCTAATGCGAATTGTCACCGTTGTGACTCAGTGTTAATTGTGTTATTCTATGTATTAGCCAAGTGATACGTTCGTTTAGAAAAGTGAATACGAAATGAGCCAACCCCGAATAGGCTTCCTCTACGCCACTCACTATTTTTCACCAAGGACAAGCCTTCCATTCTTGGTAAGGTGCGTATATTGTGCGGGAATTCCCAATCACACTCCCGCTCATTTCGCGATTCCAAAAAAAAATTAAAACAAAAGTTAGACCACCAATACGTCAGTCATACAAGTCGCAGGTGCAGCTGTACTGGGCGACAAATGCGGCAGCACTGTCGGTGAATGCATCCGCCACGTCATCGCCCAACTGATAAAGAGCTCCTCGGGCAGCTCCTTAACATGAATGGGGTCAAGCGCCACGGAAAGACAGGCTTTATGACAACGAAGCTCTACACTGTCGTCTACAGTAAGCATATCTTCTAACCTGTTTTCTGAATAAATTTCTATCGTCCTGCTCATTTTATGAACAATTAATTTAACAGTGTTGTTCCTGTTTTTCTTTTTTAATTACCTTGCCTCACCAGTTTCGCTTTTATCACAGGACGAATGGTTTTCACTTCCTTTTGTGAGTAATAAATTGTTCCTCAATTCCTTTCCCTTCATTTCGCTAGCTAGTAACGCAAGACTAGCTCCCTCCTAACAAGCTTTTTGTTCTCATTTTTCCGACAGGGGCAGTCAAACAGAGCCCGGCCTTGTCGGTCACCGAGAAGGACATAGCCAACGCTATCGGAAAGTGGCTGGTGAACAGCCGAGACCGGGAAGGCTACAGGACGGCGCGCCAGGCCACCAACAGCAACGACTGTGGCCGCCGGAGCGCCCCCAGCAGCAACGGCAGTGGCAGCGGAAACGCGAACACACCAGTAGCGGCGGCAACGGTTTCGAACATGACGCTGACGCTGGGGGTAGTGTTGTGTCAGTGTGGTGCTGCGGCGCAGCGTCTCACAGAGTGAGAGTGTCCGTCAGTAGCAGTGGTCAGTTGTGGTGTCGGTGTTACACGTATAGTGCGGTGTGGTGCAGAGGTGTACTGAGTTGAGGGAAACATGGGCGTGAATCGACGACGACGCTACAGGGCCGGAGTTGGAGCTCCGTAGTGCGTCACCTAATGTGTCACCGAATCTCGAGTGTAATATACGTCGAAAGGAAACTGTCGTAGTTGTTAATGTATTGATGTAGGTACGAGAAGTGTAAGAAACTCAGGTAGTTTTACTATTCAGCCCACGAAAGAACCCACAGCCAATTGGTAGTTTGCCATGGAGTCCCCAAGCGGCGCAGTCGACAGAGCGGCCACTTGCGATGCCAGTTTGATATTCATATGGACAGCTCATATGGTTACCGAATGGAGCAGCCTATATGGTAACGACATGGGGCAGCCCATATGGTTACCAAGTGTGATAGCCATTGGTTACGATATAGGGAAAACCATATGATTACTATACGGGGAAGCCCATATGGTTACAACATGGGGCAGCACATATGGTTACCACATAGGGCAGCCAATGTGGGCACTATGTGGAATTAGATGGGCATGCCTAATGTCCATATGGTAACCACATGGTTATATTAAGTTAGTGTTACCTGGAAGGTGGGACTGCAGAGTTATATAGTCAGTAAGGAAGGTCATACACTGAGCCGTAACCGGCGCCTTATGCGGCAAAGTCCCATCGCCACGTGACAGCAAGATCGAGGAACAGTTTCCACTAGGTCTCCTGGAGAAGCTTCAGCAGATGTCTGAGGGCATCAGGGATGCATCCAGAGCAACCTCATATGAACTATACTTCTCCCAGTTCTGCGAGTGGTGGTGCAGGAACTATCAGAACAAGTATGTGGCTTCGGGGCTTGTTCTCAAGAGATCTCTAGGCCCTCTGTCTCCTGACATCATTCGAACAGACCGCACCCACCTAATCAACTTGGTAGCCAAGCACTCGGCTAATATGATCAAGATTCTGAGAGGAGACTGCGACTTGAGATCGGCTCGTGGATGTCTAGAGGAGGTGATCCTCTGCCAAGGGGCCTTGGAGGGTCTCCGCCATGGGGTACCCCTGGGACCCTCCGCCTATTACACCATTGCACAGTCCGCCCTGACCCAGACATGGTGATACCTGGAAGACTCTCGGCTAACCAGATGGGTCATCACCCCCGCGGAGGGCAGAACGGACCTCTGGCGATTGGGAGAGGTGAACTCCGGAAGGAGTGAATCAGTCTTCCTGCACGACAGGATTGTAGCAGGCCTTGCAAGCTCTGCATCCCTTCTGTTCTGGGCCACACCCAGACGCGCCCGAGCGGGAGGAAGGCGGAGGAACGTGTGATCTCTTCCTCCGTGAGTTTCTGCGCTGGCGGAGAATCTATCAAGGTCATGGAGGGCGAGACAACTTTGAGGCAAAACCTCTCAACTGAAAAACAGAGTCAGAAATTTTAAACCAGCTTCTTTGCCTGCCGCGGAGGTCTTAGGGCTTTATTGAAATTGTTTCTTTGTCTTGTGGTTATGTTCAGAACAATTCAACACAAACAGGAAATCCTGGACCCTGGTCAGACGCAGCTCTAGACAGCGCGCACAGAAACGGGGACACTGGGTCCAAACAGTTTATTCTTGTTTCGGTTGCTTTGTTTTGGAGGATCGGTCTTCCGCCATATTAGAGGTATATTCCTCGTGTTGGAGGACCGCCGACATAATGGGCAGTGTGCGCTTTGCCGCTCTGAGGATGCTTCTTTGGCTGGGGTCGATGAGCCCCGGCGGAGCCATCACGGCCTGTGATTGCAGTAGCTCGCTAAAGACGGAGATGTACAGCCTATTCAGGTCAGAAGCATGTCAGAGAGACGAGGCTCCAGAGAAAGTGAAGCGTGTCGCAGCTCTCGTGGAGAAGGGCGATTCAGTGGAGGTCCAGGGCTACCGATGCAGCGGGCTGGTGACGAAGACTTCTTTCTTGTGCGACACTCTGAGCTATAACTATCTGACCAAAGCGGCATCCACTTCTCCCTTGCACCTCACCGTGCAGGATTGCATCATGGCGGCGACTCGCGGTATTTGGACCGTTCAGATCGGGGACCGTGCCACCGCAGTCAAGGTATCAGTCGGAGCCTCGGTCAACTATAGAGCCTCCAACACCGGTGACTTCCCGGACGAACGCACCGGGAGCTGTACGCATAGGACCAACTATGAGATCCATTCCGGAACAATAGAGATAGAAGAGGTGAGTGTGAAAGCGTTCCCGGATATGTCCCGAGTAGTCGCCAACGGCAGGATGATGCCCTACTCGTCCGATATGGGGCTGGAGGGAACCTCGGAGGGGACTTATGTCTGGGTCGAGCAACCCCAACCCTGCGATAGACGGCTGATCTCCCTCCTGTATGAGGGCGAGGTTGAGATCATCACGTTCAGGTCTACGTCGTTCGTGAGAAGTAGGGGTGACGATAGTGCCTTCCAGATCCATTCCACTCTCGGGCCACCGGAACCTATGTGCGGAGGGATTGCACAGGCAACCCAGGTGTCCTCTGTGTTCCTGTTGGTCAGCTTCCCAGACCACCGTGGCCTACGGAGTGTTACTAAGCCCAATCTTATGTCTCTCATGCAGGGGCTCTCAGGGTACGTTTTCAACTCTCTCACCTTCTCGATGAGCCAGGACCTGGCCGAGCTAGAATATCAGTTTTGTCTGGCCCGTCGCCAAGATTTGCAGCTTCGCGTCCTCATGCTGTCACTCCACCCCGGACTAGATGTTCCCCTGGATCCGGAAATTCCCTGCACATTTGCCGCTGGAGCAGGAGAGGCAATCATGCTGGCCACTTGTGCAAGAGTCGAGGTCCGCATCGCCCAGAACTCGACATGCTTCGAGGAAATCCCAGTTGCTCTCTCAGATGGAACAAGCGCCTTCATGTCCCTCCCTTCCCGGAAAATCATCCAGAGGTCGCGCCAAATCGAATGCGGCAGCCGAGTGCCGCTGGTTCTGGAGGAAAGTGGCATTTGGTACAGCCCGAACTCTCTCGTGGAGCCCCGCTATGCCAGGCCGCTTCCGGTGTCGAGAGAAATCCCGGGCTGGAAGACTGCGGCACTACCCAAGTTGGACACCAGCGGAATTTACAGAACCTCAGACATCAAGCGCCTCAGAGCTGCTCTTGAGGCCCCCGGTGCATCTGAGATCCGGACGCTCAGGAGACTGGATGCCCTCGCGGGCGCCAGCATAGACCGCAAAACTCTGAAAGATCACCTGGACGAGGTGACCGAACGAGTACCTGACATCATCTCTGGCTGGATGCTCAGCAAGGGCTACATAGTTGGTGGGTGGTTCGGATTCGCAGTAATGCTTCTCGGGTGCCTGGCGGTGCTTACTAGCTTGATACGCTGCGCTCTGATTCTGAGGCTTCTGGGAGGTAAAGTTCCCCTGTCACGAGCTTTGGTCTTTGCAACGTCCGAAGCCTACACCGCCGTTAGGTACTTCGCACCCACTCAGAGAGTCAATTCCCCTTCTCGCGGGCCTGAAGCCGTAGAAGCCGGAAACGACCCTTGTGACGCCGAGCGGCTAGCGCAGTCTAGCTACCTCAAGCTCGTATCAGAAAGGACACACTGATGGCAAATTTGCTTGCTCTTCCTGCCGTGTCCAATCCTGATGACCTGAGAGGGTTGCGGCGTCTCATAGACGACCTCACCGCAAACGTTCGAGCACTGGACGCCCTCGACACGCCCTCCGATTCTTATGGCGAGCTGCTACTACCGGTGATGAAGGGCAAAATCCCTGAGACATGGAGGATGCAGTGGGCCAGATCTCGTAAAACAGCCCCTACTGAGGAGGGGTCATCAGAGTTCTCCCGCTTCATGATCTGCCTCCACGAGGAGATGAACTTGCGTGAAGAGGCCTTCCAGGTCCCATGTCAGAGGGGAAAGCCAAACCATGCAGAAAGTTCTCACCAGTCACCCACTAACTCAGCTACTAGCACGCTGAGTTCTCAACGGGTTCAGATGGTGACTAAGCCTAAATGGAGGTGCCAAGCGTGTGGACAGGGACAACATGGCCTTGCAAAATGCGACCAGTACCACCGAATGAAACCAGAGGATCGATGGAGCGTCGTGAAGAGGGCTGGACTCTGCTTCCAGTGCCTTGGACCTCATCGAGTTCGAGACTGTCAAAGCAGACGATGTCCACTGTGTCAGGAGCATCATCACTCATCTCTACATCGCGGGGAACGGGAGACATCAGCAGCACCTTCGGCATCGGGGATAGCTCCCTATGCATTCCCGTCTCCACCTTCTCAAATCCCAAAGAGTGTAACGGGGATAGCTCCCCATGCATTCCCGTCTTCATCTCCTCAGCCATCAATGGTTGCAACCAGCCCAACAGTCGACTCAGCTCAAAGGACTGACAACTCAACACCAAGAAGCTGTCGCTACAATGCCATCAGCCGGCACAACAATCAGTTCTTCCAAACTGCCCTGGTAAAAGCTTCAGGCCCGAAAGGACACCGGCTGGTACGAGTGCTATTGGATGGCGGATCAGACACCTCTTATGTGAGGACATCTCTGGCAGAGGATCTCGGTCTTCCGATCCTGAGAACTGACACATTCGCATGCGTGGGTTTTCAGGAAAAGCTGGAAGAGCCTCGGCCATACCATCGAGTCCAGATCAACCTGCAAAGCCGATTCGGAGACGACCCAGTACAACTTGAGCTATACAGTACAGATCGGCTCTGCTCAGCGACCAATCTCAGACTCAGCCAGACCAATCTCCAACTTTGACGCTACAAAGGCGCGCACATCCCGTATGAAGGACAGACTAGGTGAAGAGGCTGTTGTCCAGTACGAGACCCAACTCACTGACTTGTTGGCAAGTTCTATCATTGAACCCATACCACCATTCGATTACAGTTCCAATGAGGTGCCACCCAGGAACAACTGTCACGGTGGGGAGCCCACAGTGAGTCCACCTGAGTCCCAAGGCGACTCAGAAGAAGAGTCCAACACTCACAGTCAATCCTTGGGCACTGTGTGTGAGAAGAGTCGTGACCGGGCGGCTACAATAGCACCAGCAGGGCCAAACCAGCCTGTGACTGACAGAAGGCTCGTAGCCTGCTTTCTCTCCCACGCATGGGATTCTATTGCTGCTGGCTCGCAGACGGACACAGTTTACACCGATTTTAGCTCTGCTTTTACTTCAGTTAACCATCAGCTGCTTTTGCACAAACTGAGAACATCGTTTAGTGTCTCTGACAAAGCGTATGCCTGGCTCGCATCTTATCTGTCCAATAGGCGCCAGCGCGTAGTGCTGAACGGCGTGACCTCTGACTGGACTTCTGTCAAGTCTGGGGTGCCAGAAGGCAGCATCTGTGGACCTTTGTTTTTTATCTGCTACACTGCTGACATTCCATCTATCATCAACACAAACTGTATCATGTACGCGGATGATTTGAAACTTTTCAATCGTGTAACCTCTAACGACGACGCCGCCGTCCTGCAGGCCGACCTTGGTCGGCTGGTGCGATGGTCTGAGGCATGGCAGCTAAAATTGAACCCAGTCAAATGTTTTGTTATTTCGTACACGCTCAAAACCCGGCCAGTTACATTTGATTACCAGATCACTCATGTTTCACTGCAGCGCAAGGTAGAGGCACGTGATCTCGGAGTGATACTGGACAGCAAGCTGACATTCGCGCGTCACATAGACACTGTTGTGGCGAAGTCCAGACGCATGCTCGGGTTGTTCATTCGGGGTATGCAGCAGCCTCGCAACCTGCGCGGCGGGGCCCTTGACGTCAGAGCATTGCGTACTGCCTACTTTGCGCATGTCCGATCACTCCTGGAGTATTGTAGTGTCGTCTGGGCCGGCGCTGCAGTGACCCAAATGAAACGACTAGACCGTGTGCAACACAAGTTCCTCATTTGGCTCGCATCTCGTTCGGACCATCCCACAAACTGCCTGGATTACGAACATCTACTGTCTCACTTTCAGGTTCCATCCATCAAATCGAGATTTCATCAACACGACCTCATGTTTTTATTCAAGATTTTCCATGGTCAGATTGACTGCCCGCAACTAGTCACAAGGTTCTCACTCTCAGCACCTAGTAGAAGGGTGCGCAACATCAGGCTGTGGAATATCCCACCAGCACGAGTCAATACTGTCAAAAACTCTATGTTCGGGCGAATTCCAAACAGCTGTAACGCCCTCCTAGCCGCGAACAGTACAGTTGACTTTTTCACGGCAACACTTGGAGCCTTCAGAACTGCTGCATATTCATTCGGTCAGGCCGCCGGTGTGTACTAGCATGTTTCCTTTTAGTGTATACTTTTAGCTTGTTTTCTTTTTAGTGTTGCTTATAGTAGATACCTACCTATGTTATGCCGTGCTTTTAACTACAGTGTTGTGAATCGTTTGTGTTTTCACCTCATCTTGTTTATGATTTTATGTACTGTTTTGACTGCACCTGTTAAAAGGGCGTTTGCCTGTGTGTGCTTGTAGTAAATACAATACAATACAATCGCACCAGAACAAGGCGGCAACTTGCCGCCTCAACCGGTTGTCAGGCTCAAGTATATCACCCGACCCTTCTACAAACGACATAATGTTGAATGTCCCCTGCAGACGGTTACCAGGTTAGATCGTATGTGCCAAGTCTGCCAAAAGCATGTACTGTAGACTGGTAAGTACTTAAAAGCATAGCTCGTCAAATGGGAGGGGATGTGTGGAATAACTATAGAAGTGGAGAGAAAGGTGTTCGCCAGCTTCGTGTTTCAGCCGCGCCAAATATGTCTTGCTTTTCCATTACAGTAGAAAATAAAGAAACTTCCGCAAACATCTAAATTATGAAAAGCTGGGGCAATCTAATAAATCAATAGGTGTTCTACAAATTTTGGAAAATGGCGCTTACGGTCAGAATCCTTTGGACGGCAGAATAACATTACACCCCAACAGACATACCCGAACAATATTATAGCATTTGACAACACTAAAAAACAGTTACCCTCAACAAAACCCACCATCAGCCTAGCAGTTGGCACCCCATAATCACACTGAATTCCCAGATGGCCCAACACAATATCACTCCCTTGGGCAGATAGGCAAGGCAAATAATCACCGACCGCAGCAGACGAGTGCTCCTGTCCCAGGCCGGGCCGGGCGTGTCACTTCTCTTCCGAGCTCTACGAGCCACTGACCAGAGACCTCATCAGACTCAGTGAGCTGCCCCGGTAGCCGGAGCCGAAGTGGTTCCTGAAACACAACGGGCACAGTGACTCAGTCATGAGAGGACAGGTAACGTTTTAAAGTAGAATGTATAGCGCATGAAAAACACACCTCGGAATTCGGATGAAAACACATAGGTAGCTTTTAGTACAAGCGAAATACAACACAAAGGATTGTACGGATAAAATAGAGTTTCGGTGATAAAAAAGCAGCAGACACAACCAGCCTCCCATCAAACCATATGCGATGCAGTCACGTAATCTCCCAAGCACTTAGCACTACCTAAGATGCCCCTCACTGTAACTAACCACTAACCAGTGGTTGAGGTTGTGGAAGAGCTGGTAGAGCCGGTTCCGGCGCTCGAAGCCCTCCTGTTTGGGCAGCACAGCATGGTAGCCACGGAAGAAGCCCGATCCCAGACCGCCGAACATGTGCCCGATGCCCAGCTCGTACTCGGCGTGACCGTAGAACGACGACGGGTCAAACACAACTGGCGGAAGGACGGGTCGGGTCATATTCAGGCGAGGGGCGTACAGACGGAAAGGGCCTGCATGAGGCACTCGTCAAAAGGGGCCCATCACTCAATTAAGACCGAGCTGGCGATAATCTCGTTATTCAAATATTCTAAGTTTCCCCGCCTAGGCTCCTACATTTTCTACCGAAAAAAAAAACATTGATGAGATGGGTATACTGACGTTTTCAATATAAACAACTACAACTGAACAGTGAAGAAGCAAGTATCTCCAAATACCACCTCGAAAGTCTATTGCGATCCATCTCCACCAAAAAACCCTCCATGTCCCTGCCCTGCACCGGCGAGTCACGTGCTCCAGTCTCCCCGTTTACCTGGCTCGTCGTCAGTCTCGGCGGCATTTCCCGACCACAGGTCCCCGTGCAGCAGCGCCGGGGTGACGGTGATATTTCTGAACATCTCCGGTAGGCAGCGCTGCAGTCGCGGCCACAGCTCACGCGCCTCCCGGTCCCCGTATTCGCGCTCAATCATCGCGATCTGTCGGTAGCCAGTAACAGGACTTCAGTGGGTATACCGGTAGATCCGATAGGAAAGGCACGCATTTGTCCAAGAAAATTGCTAAGAAAAGGTGGATGGGGAAGCAAAGAGGCATAAAAACATATCAAAATCCTTTTGAGAATATGAAGGATAACTGCCCCAAATTTCACTTTTGCTTTTATTAAAGGCAAACCGTCAAAGTCCATGATAACTTATATGATCGCCTGTAGTCACAAGCTCACAACAAATATACTTGATGATTCTAATCCAATGGACATGAGAACCAAGTGCGAACACTAGTCGGTTTAATTGTTCAGACATATCTAATAGGGTCGGGCTTCCCAGTCTCTCCCAGTCCTGTACTCTCAGCGCAGCTCGACCCCACGTCTCCCATTCCCGCCGGCCCACCCACCTGGGGCTCCAGTTTGTCCCGTGCCAGAAACTGCACCCAGTCGTCGCACCATTGGTTCGCCTGCGGGATCCGGCCGCAGCATGTCGGCACGGGAAACCCAAACTGGCTGACCGGTGCTGCCGCCTGGCGGGAAAACGCAGAGTTACACAGAGGAGACAGAGCGACCACCCGAGGGGCTGATGGACCCGAGACGTTTATTGCGGCTCACAAAGTCTCGACGACTTGTCAACTGAGCTGTGACATTTGTGAGATGGTAGAATTCATAGCACGACTCATTACCGAGTAAAAAAAAATATACTGTACCATATCAAGCCAACATAACAAAGGTCTTGCAGGTACGGTTTTCAAAAGGTTTCAAAGAAACTGAACAGCTGCGCTCACATGTTTTTCGGACGCTCCAACGCGCGAGCTATGAGCCTCTTCCTTCGCCAGGGCGGCTCCATTGTGGAGGTGCATCCTGGAACGGTGACGACTTCTATAAATACGCGGAGCCCTAGCTAGTACCTAGGCCACATCCATACTAACTCCCCTGGCAATCCCACAGCCTGCATCATCCTCACGTTCTAGTGTGGAATCTGTCCACTGAGAATATAGCTAGGTGTTTACTAGCCTGGTGGAATCTGTCCACTGAGGATATGGCTAGCTGTTTACTAACCTGGCTATCTGTTCCCCCAGCTGCGCCGCTCGGCCGCGTAAACCTCCCATGTGCAGGAATTCCATAACGAGTACGACTCGGCCGGAGGCGGGGTCGGCGGCCACGCCCAGGGGGCGGGGACAGCGCACTGTGTCCGTGTCTTGGATAGCCTGCAGCGAGGCCCGCTCACCAGACAGCATCTCCCGCGCCTGCGGGAGTGGGGAGCAAATGGAGGGTGATGGCAGAAGGGGGTTCTGTGTGGATTACTCGAAATGCTTTGTTGTTATTTATTGGGGCTTTAGGACGCGCCGACTGCAAAGGTCATTTTGCGTCCATAGCTCGAAATGCCTGGGAAGAAACCAAGAGAGTGTGGCAAGATAGCAGACTGCATGATAGTTGACACAGCACCTGCAGTGTGAGAACTGAGCAGCCACATCAATCAGTGCTTACTGATCACAGTGAAGTTTAAGTGCCAGGGCACACCACTTTTTACAAAGGAGGCAACCGAGTGAGCAGGACAATAGCCAAAAGTGAAAACTTTTGTAGAGGAATGGGATGTTATACCACGCCACAGGAACCCAACTGAGCTGAGCATTGAGCACAATGACTACTGGCTACAATCATACCAAATGATACTCCTATTTCTTTTTAATACCATGAGCAATAAACACAAGTTTCTAACATATTAGATAGGAATACTGATATCAGGCAGCTTTTGCCAAATTGTCAGGGAACTCAGATTTGTTTTTCAATAAAAAAACAATTCTAAAGAATAGTGTTTTAACTATTGACAACAAACCTTCGGTTACTTTATATACTGTTTTTTTTTTTTTAACTCACTAACCTCATTGCCCACGTCGTCGGACCATTTCAAGTACAGCTGGCCGCGATCAGAATCAAAGCCCTGCCCTTGGCAGACGCAGCCGCCACCCCTGCCTCCACGAATTGGCTTCAGAAATGACAGCCCCAACTGCCCTTTGACAAACTCAAACTCCATCACGGCACTGGAAAACAGAGGATGGTCAGTGTCCAGCGTACTGATTACTGAATGCCTGCCATGAACAGCATGATCAACAGTCACTGCACAATACCTGCTCTTAGCACGTTCCAATTTTTCAAGTCACATAACACATTGACATGACAATTACTGAATGGACAAAATCGTCATCCTTTCAGTCTTGTTCTTTCAGAAGTCCAGTCCATCGTTGCAATAATAAAATAAAAGCACTGGCAACGCCCAACGATACAGTAATTCAGCAATTATTTCATGCTTTCACAATTGATATTCAGTCAGTGTAGGCTGTAGATGCATTTGGTGCCATGTGATTCAACATGTTTTGTGATTTTGATAGTCATAACACATCATTTTGATTCAGTTGACGTTATGCTTCTCACGTTTTCAGCTTATATACATGCGAGGTCAAATTCATAAGGGTATGTTTTAAAGGTAGTGTGCCACCTTTGAATGATTTCCCATTTTATTTTTCCTAGGATAAGAAGCTTCTGTTTTTACCTAATATCGCAAAAAAATCAAAAATGGGCCTAAAATAGCGCTTTTTTGCCTAAAAGTTTATCGGTTTTTCGATATGTTTAACAACTGTAGTGGGCTCACCTGCAAACAGGCGTCGGCAACAATCACGAATGCGGCACACATGTGACAATAAGCAAAGGTCATTATAGAGTTACGATGTATGGGAATGAGTTATCAGCTGTCTAATCGTAGACAACACAATGTCGAATTTAAACTGTAAGCCTGTATTGGTATTGTTTCTTTAATTTGGCAGTCGAACATTAATTTATGGTTGGAAATATTATTTTATGTAAAATAACTGATATGAAACAGCCGTCTCTAAAGTTATGACCCCATCTCACCACATGAAAGTGGCAGAAATGACAATGATCAGCTGACGCATTTCTCTTGGCCGAAGTCAGAGCGCGCGGCCCGACGCACCACCACCGCGCCCAAAGCCAGGGCCCCGGTAACGTGAGGTAGCCGAGTCGGGGCAGCGTGCGCTGACCCAAGCCGGGGCCGCGGCTTTGGGCGCGGTCTACCGCATCCCCGCGGGCAGCCCCGGGCTATCACATGACACCGGGAGGACGCGCGGCCCCGGCTTGGGTCAGCGCACGCTGCCCCGACTCGGCTACCTCACGTTACCGGGGCCCTGGCTTTGGGCGCGGTCTACCGCACCACCTAACTAACAGGCGTGTTCGAAACCGCAGGAGATGACGATGAACAGGTTCATTGAAACTTGATTGGATGAGCATATCGGTAATAGCGATTTCAGTGTGTGCATTTATTGTTCATAGTGGTGTGAAATGTGGTTGGGGTACGACCGACAACCCGTCAGGGCGAATTTCGCACTGGGGTACTCAAAATTTGAAGAATTTAAGACGTTTCCATGAGTTTTGAAGGTATGGATAAGTTCTAAAAATCCGGTTCTCCTTATCTGGGCCATTAACTCCATACGGTCCAGGAAAGCTGGCACACTACCTTTAACCCTCGCATGTGTGCGGCGTTTGCCAGCTTCTAATGTGTAGGGGGGGGGGGGGGTCGGTTGGACCCCCCTTGCCGTTTGGCCCCTGATCGAGCTAGAGCTTCGCGGAAAAAAACGAGCGTGTTGCCCGTGACGAGAGGAACCCGATGATACCCAATTTTGAGGTCCTAGGTCATTGGGTGACCTTCCAGGTCAGGTCAATGACCCAAAGTCGGGAAAATCGGGACCTGTTAGAAAGTCGTAAAGTGTGGCTGCTAAGGGGTTTTTCGGGGTGCTGATCACGAATATCGTGTTAGTTTTGATCACAGATGATGTCTTTAAGCATTTAGACCAGTTCGGGTCAGGTCAGGTCAGGTCAACCAGTAGGCATCGTGACGGGTATTCGTAGTACCTGTCAACCGCCTCTGACAGCTTCGTAACATATTACGAAGGCACCAAAACTACTTCGTAAATGTTCAAATGGTTACTAAATTCGAATTCAGCTCCAAAAACTAGCCTAGAAACATGTACAGCTCGAAAAAGTGAACCGAGGTCACCCGAGGTCACCAAAGGTCAATGACCTGACCTGACCTTCAGGTGACCTTGACACCCACCCTAATGCATGGAAGCAACATCAAATCACATGTTTGAACGTTAGAAACCACGAAAAGCTTGCAAACGCGCGGCTAATGCGAGCCGACATACGCAAAATCGCGATTCCGGCCAAACATGGTCTCGGAAAAGAGGTCACAGGTCAAAGGTCATTTGGGTCAGGGTCATGAAATTTTCAGGGTAGGTGTAAAATTGATCAATGTGAGGGTACTGGAAGTTTCGTCGCGATCGGCCGCTTTTTACGCGAGTTATTCGCGAAAAACCATGGGGGGTCCATCCGACCCCCCCCCCCTACACATGCGCGGGTTTCTTATTTCAGCACAACACAATCAGACAGGGGGGGGGGGCGGGGGTCTGTTGGACATCCCCCTTGCCGTTCGGCCCCTGATGGAGCTAGAGCTTCGCAAAAAACGAGCGTGTTGCCCGTGACTAGGCCCAAATTTAGGGTCCTAGGTCATTGGTTGACCTTCCAGGTCAGGTCAAAGACCCAAAAGTCGGGAAAATCGGGACTCGTCAGAACTCCGTAATGTGAGGCTGTTATAGGGTTTTCGGGGTGCTAATCACGAATTCCACGTTAGTTTTGATCACAGATGATGTCTTCATACATTTAGGCCAGGGCGGGTGCCGGGTTAGGTCAGGTCAAGAATTGTTCAAATGGGTGCTACATTCGAAAACAGCTCCAAAAACTACCCTGGATAGGAAACAAGTGAAATTTTAAAAGGTGAACTGAAGTCATCAAATGTCAATGGCCTGACCTGACCTTCACATGACCTTTACAGCCACCATAATGCATGGGAGCCACATCATTTCACATGCATGAACATTTAAAACCACAAAAGACTGCAAACGCACGTCGACGCATGCGAGTCGACATACGCCGAATCGCGATTCCGATTTGCGAAAAATTGAGGGGGTCCGTTCGAACTCCTCTTGAAGTGCGAGGGTTTAGCCCTCGCCGGCACAGGGGGGTTGATGCACCCCCCCCCCCCCAAGGTTTTTCGCAATTAACTCGCGTAAAAAGCGGCCGATCGCGACGAAACTTTCAGTACCCTCGCGTTGATCAATTCTACACCTACCCTTAAAATTTCATGGCCCTGACCCAGATGACCTTTGTTGACCTGTGGACAAGTCATTTTTTCAACTTTAAACTTGGTCATTGCAGGGGTCACAGGGCCGGGCTGAGGAGGTGACAAACAGCAAAATTATCACAAAATAAGTTCATAAATCTGCTCATAAATTGGGGGCAAAATTACTTTGCCACAGAAACACATTTGAGGATTAACATTTCAATTTTAGAGGAAAACTTTTGTCTGCAATGCTTTTTACAACAAGTTTGCATTTCTTCAGATTGTTAGTCTCGTCACTTGTGGTTGGTTTATAAATAGGATTTGAAGCCAGCTCAATTTGTATCACTCTGCGCAGCCGGTGTTTTCGCATTTCACGTCAGTTGGGGAAACTACGAGGAGCCAAACAAAAATTGGATTAGCCAATCAACGGCTGGTGGGCTTTTGGCCATATATGGTCATAAAATCAGACTTCATCTTTTCAATGAATCCTAGCATTCAAATGAAAAAAATAAGGCATAAGGATGTTTTTTTAACCACACACGGCCTACACTCACTCGGTGCATAATTAACTGGCGGCTCTAAATCGCAGAGTTACAACGCAAGGTCAAACAGTGATTGGCAAATATGGCGGATTGAAACAGACGCGCCAAAAAATGTAAGCAGTACCGTGGTTTAAAAATGACATTATTCTTGTTATTTTGTTTATGGTTTTTCTAAATGTGGTTAAGTTATTATTTTAAAATTAAATATCTTTGTTTATTGTAATGAAATTAAATCATTTAACAATTTTCTTTCAAAACACCAATCCATTTATTGAATGGCCAGCTGATTGTGACACCCAGAACCTGCAGAAAAGGTGAAAACAGGGCGCCGGAGGGCATATTAGTCACGTGATATTTGGAGCTTCTCCCCCTCTATGGGCCTTCTACATGCTAAACGTCACGTGTGAATTTCATGAACCTTGATCAAATCGCCCCAGGCGCCCTGTTTTCACCGTCGTCCCAGAAAAGCCGTTTCCCTATCGCCATTTTCGATTCAATTCGCCGAATTTAATCAAATCACGCTAATTCCTAGTGGAAAATGGAAGCCTTTTCTCTCCATTAAGTGGACGCAATACCGCAAGTACCGGCTTGTTATACCGTTTTTCACCCTTAGAAGCGGGGGCTGCACCGGGGGCTGCATTTATGCCCATATATGGTCATCAAAAGTCCATTTATTGACCAATCAATTTTTAGATTTTTGCCTCGTAGTTTCCCCAACTGACGTTGGAAGTTCAATTTAAAGGGACCCTCCCACCTTAAAAAAAATGAATTGGCATGAAAGTGATGTCGCTCGGTTCAGAAAGAGCGAAAACGAATATCTACCAAATTTCACCGAATAATATTCACCGGTTTTCAAGATATTACTTTTACTTGCTATTCCTAGCGACTTTACTTGGAAGCAATAGTTTGGCAGCTGAAGTGCGGCACTTGTTGCGCGCAAAGCAGCATATTCCACCGTTTGCTACAAAACGTTTTAGTCAAACATTTAAAAATTGTTAGATATCTGCGCTGACGTCACACATTCAGAGGGGTATTCCTATGCATTAGCCCCTCTGAATCAAAATGCTGCAATTTTGAAATTCAATATTTCCGATTTAAGGCATTTCTCAATATTGTGAGTGCCGAAACTGGTAATTGTGAGCCAGGGACCCCATTTTGGCTATCTCATCTCAAATCTAATGTTAAGGTGGGAGAGTCCCTTTAAATTGAAATAGGGACCATTCAATGCTGATGCTGACCTACGAATACAAATTGAAATAAGCATTTGTAGAAAGCAAATTGAAATTGAAATCCCGCGCATACACCATAGAAAATGAAATTTAATATAAATTTACGGATTGCACTTACCGGAACGGCCAAGAAAGCACACCGACACGTCCACGTCCGAGTTCCGACGACGCTAGCTCGACGAGAAAATTCAAAATGAAAATCAAGGCCATATATAGTATGAAAATAGTCACTATATGTCAGAGTATTATGGCCTTGAAATGGTTACCTCACCCAAGGCACCTCACCGACGCCGTGGAAAATGGCGTGGAAAATGGAGGACGCCGCCACGTGCCACGCGATTTCACTTTTTCAAGGTCCCTCTGTTTCCGGCGACCTCGAGCCACGCCCGACTACAGCGCCATCTAAAAAAGAATCCTTCACTAAAGCGACACCTACTATGAACGTCAAACCCCTTGAGACCCCACTTTTTTGCGATAATTTTTAAATGCGTCAACTTTCGTTGACAATATTCTGGCAATGTATGTTTCAGAACCTGCCGAAACTTTCATTACTAAGGTATTTTGACGCCAAACGATTATGGATGGTACTTCTCATTCACTCGTAATGCTAAGGTCAATTCAGGCCCGGGCGCGTCATTTTTTTTTCCCAGCCGGAGCAATACACAGGGCGGCTCTGATTGGCTACCCGCTCCGGCCCGTGACGTCAGACCGAGAAGATGTCACACAGGGATGCCGGAGAGCGCTTTCGATTCCGGAGATTTCAAATCAAATGCCGTTGAGTTGATGCCGCTGTGTAACGAGGATGCGCAATGCACGGTGACTATAAATACACGGTGGCGCAATGTGTATTCTAACCGGCGTAATGATGGGTGAACGAAAGTATATTCTTTGATTGAGATAAGTATGAAGCGTATTGTTTGATGCATATTTAGCATGTTGTAACAGCGGAAACATTTCTCGCGAGATATTTGACTTTACCTTCCATGCTTTTTTTATATCTATTGCGAACTTGATAGACGCAGCGGAGTCTGCCTTTCGGACTCCAACGGTCTGCATAAAACACACGTTTGGAAAACAGATGCCCTCCGCTGCTTCCCACCGGGGGGGGGGGGGGGGGGAGACTGCATCTCTTTTACACCCAGACATGTTGGAGTAAATATTCCACTTTGAAGATACAGCTTTGTAGTTCGTGGTTATAGCTTAATTAAGTTCAAAAACAATCACGCTGAAACATTTAACGAATATGGGTGTCGCACGCCAACAATTAGCTTTTGACCGCCGCGCCAGTCGGATCGCCTTCCTGACATTCATACACTGTCTCAGCAGCACCAGAACCACTGGAACATGTATTTACACATGGGAGTACCATCTGGCAACCACTGCTCGCATTCCGCCAGACCGTTATCATCGACGCGTTTAAAGCTTTCACTGTCGATCCGCATTGAGGATTACATCCTAACTGCCATCCTGAACACATTAGGCACTGTGGGTTCGACCCACAGACACGTTTCGAGCCACACACTCCGCCAGGTTGTGTGGGGCTCGTGCTGGGGGCACCACCTGAGAACAGAGTGATTGCTTCGCGACCTTCGTTGGCACGGCGTAGGCACCGTGGTCGCCAGCGGCGGCGTCTTTTTTGGGTCTCCCGGTGGAAACACGCCGCTTGCCACCAACTGGGACCTTCCTGCGAGCCACTGCTGTCGGATGGACGCCTATCATCACGGAGCTTTTAAAGGAGCTTGCAGGGACAGCGCTGCAACCATGAACCAGTGCCAAACTGGTGCAAACTTGATACCCGCGAATTGTCCGTTTTCATGCACTCGTAGCGGCTAATGAACGTGGCCGTGCCCAGTGCGGGGCCGTACAGCTCTGGTGCACGCATGAGGTCAGCTTGCCATGACTCACACAGAGCCTGGCACCGAGCGATCAGTTCAGCTGTCCCGTCGCCCAGGTTGGTGCCCGCCTTCTCCTCGCTCGCCGGGTCAGGTTGCTGATCACCAGATGCGTCACTTCGGCTCGTGCTTGGCTGGCTCGTGCTGCTCGGTTCCCGCGGATCTTGCCTCATTGAGGCCAAAAACCCGCCGGGTGCTGTAAGACCTGTCAACAGGAGGACCATGACTATGAAAACACACTACACGAGCGGTCCAAACACCACCACCGCGCAAGATAGTACAAATAGATCATTTGGGCCAGAACATAGCCTCGAGAACGAGGTTATATCTCCATTACCAAAGGTCACAGGTATCTCAAGTATTCAGTGTACCTTAACCCTCGCCCGTATTGGTGTTTTTCCAGCCGCGAACGTTTAAGGGGGGGGGGGTCCGTTGGACCCCCCCCCCCTCCTTGCCGTTTCGCCCCTGATCGAGCTAGAGCTTCGCGGAAAAAACGAGCGTGTTGCCCGTGACGAGAGGAAGCCGATGATACCTAATTTTAAGGTCCTAGGTCATTGGTTGACCTTGCAGGTCAGGTCAATGACCCAAAAGTCGGAAAATCGGGACCTGTTAGAACGTCGTAAAGTGTGGCTGTTATGGTTTTTTTCGGGGCGCTGATCACGAATATCATGTTAGTTTTGATCACAGATGATGTCTTTATGCATTTAGTCCAGGTCGGGTCAGGTTAGGTCAGGTCAACCAGTAGGGGTCCTGCCGGGTATTCCTAGTAGGTGTCAACCGCCTCTGACAGCTTCGTAACATGTTACGAAGGCACAATAACTACTTCGTAAATGTTCATATGGTTGCTAAATTCGAATTCAGCTCCAAAAACTGGCTTAAAAACATGTAAAACTCGAAAAAGTGAACCGGGGTCACCAAAGGTCAATGACCTGACCTGACCTTCAGGTGACCTTGACACCCACCCTAATGCATGGGGGCAACATCATATCACATGTTTGAACGCTTGAAACCACGAAAAGACTGCAAACGCGCGGCTAATGCGAGCCACCATACGCCGAATCGCGATTCCGGCCAAACATGGTCTCGAAAAGTAGGTCACAGGTCAAAGGTCATTAAGGTCAGGGTCATGAAATTTTCAGGGTAGGTGTAAAATTGATTAACGCGAGGGTACTGAAAGTTTCATCGCAATCGGCCGCTTTTTACGCGAGTTATTTGCGAAAAACCATGGGGGGTTCGTTCAACCCCCCCCCCCTATACGGGCGAGGGTTAACCCGCGCCCCGCTAGGGGGGCTAAGAAGTATGTGTCTGACGAACAATGTACCATCGATGGTTTTCAATAACTTACCAATTTACTCGATTTCACAACACATTTCTTGAAATGCCTGTGAACGGCATTTCATGCCTGTGATCGTCCACCTCCAGAGCAGCACGACCGCCCGATGTTCCGTCGTACTGCTCTACGAGGCAGCGAAGGCCGTCCAGCATTTTCTCTCCGGACAGCTCGCCAAAGACTTTCTTGAATTCTGTTCGGTACAACCTGTAATTAAAGGAATTGTGGTTAGACTGATGGTATGTGTTACTTGTTGATTGGGAATGGTCGGGTAGCTACTTATGAGCTACGAACAGTTAAGGCGACGGAGGCGGAAGTGACGGAACAAAATTTAACCGGTGTTCCGAAAACATTTAAGAAAAGGTGCATTCCACGATAGATCGACCAAAGCCGTACACCCTCATATTTTATTTTTTGCTTAACCCGCGCCGTGCTGGTGGCCTGAACATTCCGCCGAGTGCTGGGGGGGGGGGGCGTTTTCAAGCCCCCCCCCCCCGTCTAACTCGGGCCCTCGGCTCCTGGGTCACGTAACGACACGCGGTTAGCGGCAATCGAAAGAGCGCCAAAAATAAGGAAGAAAACAATTCAGTCATTTTTAAGGTCAGGTCACCATAGGTCACCAAAGGAAAAATGTTGGCTATTTCAACATTTTGGAAACTGTCAACGGCTAACTCGAGAACCGATAGAGCTACAGCGCCGCGGAAAAGTGCATTCGATAGCTCTCTTAACCTTCTTTCGCTAATATATATCCTCAGATTTGACCTCAGGTCAACGGTTTAGCCTCCAGAGGACAAAAACTAAAAAATAACAGTTTTTACGAAGAGTTTTTTCGGCAAGAACTTTTGGCTCAAAAGAGCCACGACAATTCTCCTGCCAGCATCGTGTTCCTCGCGTCGAGACGCGTCGAATTAACAATTTGTTGATCTTTAAGGTCATTTTGAAAATTTGACCTCAGGTCAAGGTCATGACCTGACCGAAAAGGGGTCATGCTGCATACCTATCAGTCGATCCGTATCGTCGAGCTGAACACAACTGACGTGTTTTCACCGCTCTAGTACGTCTCTATCAAAATATAGCCAAAAAAGGTTGAAATGTTCAAGGTGAAAGGTTCAAAGTGATCGTTCAATCAGTGTAGCTATAGTTAATAATAGTGTAGCTATAGATTATATATCTATAGGTATAAAATCGGTGTAGGTACCTTTGAACTTTTTCTGAGGTAAGGTCACTTGACGTGACCTGGTGACCTGACCTTGAACGACCCGGGTCTGAAATTTTCAAAACATGTGCGGAAAGGAGGTATGAACAGGTGTACCAAAAACAGCGGTGCGCAATTTGAGAAAAACCTGAGGGGGGGGGGCGTAAAACGCCCCCCCCCCCTCCCCAGCACGGCGCGGGTTAAAATTGGTCGAATGGGTTGTGATGGACGGGGAAGCCAGCTAAGGCAATCATTTTTTTCTTCGAACAACTGCTTCCGGGATATAGCCTCGGGCAATTCCTGGAGGTCACGCTGCGACCCTACGTTTAGCGGCTTATAACTCAGAAACTATTGGTTTTCTATGATTAAAACTTTATATAGTTCAACTCGCAATTAACCAACAAACATTTTGGCTATTTCGGAACTTTAACTTTTGAAAATGTTAATCACGTGTGCTCTTGACCTTTTCTTCGAAGAGTGACCTTGATATTTTCCCCACTGAAAGTTGCAATTTCGTCGGATGACGATTAAAGCCTTATCAATTTTCATTCATATGCGATAATAAAAAGGTGGCTTTCGGCCTGCGTTGACCTCAGGTCAGGTCATTTTTGTGACGCCCTTAATAAGTCAATGGCAGAAATATTGGTTACCACCGAAACGCATCTGACCGAATACTTTTGAATCATGTTGAGTTAGGCTATTATTCATGGCACTGGTGCAGCTTTGCATCAGCGACCCGCTGTAAGGTCATCCGAGGTCACCCGTTGAACACACGACAATAATTTTCCTTTTTTTGCTGTACCTTTTGTTCTAATAAAGAAAGAGACGTGGAATAGGCACTATTGTGTTTGCTTTGGCCTAGCGTCAGTTTGCTTTGAATTTCGATATCGATGACTTAAGGTCAGGCCAATTTCTTAACCACCCCCCATTATAAGTCAATGGGGGGGGGGGAATCAGCTCCCTTATTTCTACACTAAAACGCGTCGGAATTGCCTAAGATATAATGAGTGACTTCATATACGATTAACTTTGACTACCTTGAGACCTTGTTTGCTCTTGGGCAACACTGTGACGTTGCTTTTGGGTTATATGACGTCATCAT